CCCCATATTTCCTGCTTTATTTTCTTCTTTCTGGTTGGACTCTGCGTAATCTATTACACATGTCATTGGTTTTCAAACAGAAAGTTGCACCATCAAGTCAGCAAAACGCAACAAGGTGTGGTCTTTGGTGGATAGAGATGTTGAAGGCAAGATATCAGTATAAAGAGGCTGCCACTGTTTACTTCCGTGTTTGCACTGAGGTAATGTTAATTTTTCAATATAGTGAGTTATGAAGACTCGTTTTCTTACTACTGACTAATTCTTTCTCAGGAGCCGCTACATTCTGCTGTAATGCTTGAGCAAGCATCTTATTGCTACTTGTTGTCCAAACCACCTATGTTACACAAATATGGATTTCATCTTGTTCTTTCTGGTGACCGTTACAAGAAATGTGATCAGGTAGCTATATCTCTAAGTTATGCAAAACTTAACTTGTTTAAGTGTTGTATCTTTTGAAGATTAGCTTTTTGCCTTGTGCTCTTCAGATCAAGCATGCAATTCGCACTTATAGAAGTGCCATGTCTGTTTATAAAGGAACTACGTGGAGCCATATCAAAGACCATGTTCATTTCCATATTGGACAGTAAGTTATATGGACTTAGATGCAGCTTTAGTTTGTGTATAATTTTGTATGCCAACTTCTTGTTTTACAATCTATAAAGTTTTTTCATACAATTTCTGTGATTCAGGTGGTATGCTCTTCTTGGGTTATATGATTTGGCTGCAAATCATGTGTTGGAGGTCCTGGCCTGTAGTCATCAGTCCAAGACAACGCAGGAGTTATTCCTGAGGGACTTCCTTCAAATTGTTCAGGTCAGTACTAGTAATCTTTGGATTCTATGCTTGATAGAGAAGGTAAAAGTGCAAAGTCCTTAAAGTAACTTGTATTTGCTCTGATAAACAAACTTACCTTTCATTTGCTAGCTCTCTAGGTCTAGTTTAGTTTAGCATGAATTTTTATTTCCTTGACCTACATTCAGAATGAGTTAATGTCTAACATATATTTACTACTTAAAAAAATATATACGGTATTTTCTTCTCATCCCAAACTATGGTGGGCATGGATGTTAGGTAGTTCCTAACTGTTTCAGAAGGCTGCAAATACCCAAAGTGTTTGTAAAGTTAAAATATGATCCTGACAGGTAACAGGAAAAAACATCTCAGTCTAGACATCCATTGAACTGTTCAAGTTAGAAACAAAAAGTATGGGTAACTTCTTTAGCAAAAATTAGTAGACTACCCTATTTTATGTTTTACTCTTTTATGTTGGCACTTTCTGCTTTCGTTCTTTTCTGAGATTGAGCAATCTAAATTTCTCAAAAAGAATTTAAGCAATCTAAATGACTACAACGTAATCC